TTTTGGTTTAAAGTTAAAATTTTGATTTAGAAATGCTGCCCCTTTACCTCTTTGGGCGTTGCAGTTTGGTGCCTCATGCCTATGTTATTTATGGGTTGGCTAGACTCACCTCCCATGATCCATTACAGCATAGCTCCCACGTGCACAAAATAGTCTTAACTAAGTGGAGAATCAGAGCCTGTTTTTCCAGGAAGAGATTTTAACTAGGCTCATTCACAGGAAGAAAAGTACAATGAAACCTCTATTTAACTACCCAGTAAGTGCTGAAGGAGGTGTAGGTCACCTTGCCGTGTTGATTACAATAACTGCGTCTGGGGAATATGGACTGTTTACAGTTGACAGATGTTTCTCGTGCACATGATGTTTCACCACAGGGACAGCTGTCTCATTGCTATCATTCAAAAGAATATCTGATCCCTTTTGCAAGGGAAATCCAACAATCTACAATGCCATAATAGGGATATGATTACACAAAGAGTCACAAAAGAAGTTAGAGTTACAAACTGTTAGAGGTAGTGTGAGGATTAATTAAAGCACAATGAAGATGTAAAACCTTACACAAGTGTCTGATTATTAAAATAAAAATAATCTTAATCACACTAGCGCTATGGATTTGATTGCAATAGGCTTGATGGATTCTCTCCCTTTTATTCTCTGAATAACAAATAATGAATGGTATTTCTGTTTACTTTTTCCAAACCTGAAGAATATGGAATAAAATTAAAAGATTACAAGTTAAAATGAATAAAAGGAGATATTATTGATAGTATTAGTAAATATTATGGGAGTACAGCCAAAGGCCTCAATTTAAGCATTATATAATTAGCCCATGGAGCTCACTGCAGCAAGATATTGAGTCAAATGTACTAGTAAGTTTCCAAAAAGTATTAGCTGTGCAAAATAAAAATAGACTTTTTTTATTTTATTTTTAGCACCAATAGTGAGCTACATGCAGTAAAGACTAAAATGAAAAGTAATATCTTACCGGAAGAATTTATAATCTACATAGACAAAGTACAAAGGAAGGAAGAGATAAAATGCAATAAAGAACAGACTGGCTGAACAATTAATCTGAAAGGTTTCAGAGTAG